CAACATGTAAGTTTCCTTAATTGTCTATACTTATCAATCTTCTCGCCCTGACTCACAGATTCATCAACCCAGAGTCTAAGCCTTTGGAGCTACAAACTTGAAATGATGGCAGCTAATGCTTTTTATGTTATAAGCCGCAAATAATAAAGGATTTTTGTAAAATTCAGCCCTGAGGGATAAAATAAGGAGAGAACGATCACATGATAAGAATTAATTCGTAGTGAGCCGCAAGCAATTGGTAGTTCACAATATTCATCTCAGTCGTTATTTTACAAAATGATTTTTGTTGATGAGTTCGCTACATGTAATCCCCCTCCCGCTGACTCGAGCGAGAGGGACTCCAAGGGCGGCAACGCACTTGTGACTTTTGAATTGCAGGTGTCCATGGGCGGCGATAATTGCTTACCATCAGGTGACCCATCTGATCGTTTGCCCTCTTATACCAAAAAAAAAACTGATGTGTCTTCATTATACGTTCTCCCCAAATCCAAAAGTAGGGTATCAAAAATAAGAATTTTAAAACATGGTTGCAAATTATTTGTTTGTCGATAGTATTTTCAACGAAGACGTGTAGCAAATTATTAAGAAGTACAAAAATTACACTTTGACTATGTACGTACCTATTTGACCACAGCTTATTTTCACCAAATTGCAACGATGCACGAAAAATAATGTGTGCAGGAATTATTTATAGAGATCAAGTTCAAATAAATCTATTTTCACGATATTTTTGCAAAAATTCTGCCCGAGAGGGTTTACCCGATACAACATCGGGTAAACCCTCTCGGGCCGTCACCCCACCGGGGTTTACGGCGGGGTGGTGTGTCGGAATCGGACCGACTAAAACCACACGGTGTGCCACTCTGCGCCTGTAATAGGAGGGCTCCGGGAACTGCTGTTATTAAGCGCTGAGGTGCATGAGGCGCTGGTCAGCGCGCCTCCACTGCCCGGTTCGTGTGCTGAGCCGAGTCCTCACTGCAATCGCAGTGGTGACAGGCGGGACTCAATTCCCTCCTAGCGACCGAGTGCAGATACTTTCCGAAGCAGTCGTTCCCGGAAAGGACCTGCGTTAGTCGGAAGGAAGGGGTCCCGTGCTGCAGCCCTGCAAATATAAGTGTGTAATTGACATAAAAATATGTCGTTTCTATCGCTAGGTTCGTTTATAATTAGTATAGACCGGCTGAGAGTCAGTACTTCCTTATTATATTTTAATAATCTTTTCAGTCACGAACTGCAAACTTTATTGAAACACAACTAGTCTGTTCTATTCATACTACAATACTTGTCCTACCCCGATATGTACGTCAACCTGACTTTCAGAAATGATTAATTTGTAAGCGACATAACCAATTAAAACTGAACCTGTCTAGATAACTCTATCAATGAACAAATAATTGCATATAAATAAATGCTTAGAATGGTTTATATGCATTTATTTGCAGTTATCATTAGAGACTTAACATTTATTTTGAACTATTTAATACTGAATACAACAACATTAAAATGTCTGTCAACAATTTATGGAAAACAATTATTATTTTATATAGTAAGTACTTACACTTTTCACTTTAATCTTATACGCTTTTATCTAGCCCAAGGAGTTTTTATTTTTAACCGACTTCAAATAAAGGAATTGTGCCCAATTCGTTTGCTTTTTTTAAGCGTATTATTTTAGAATTCTGTCATTTGTGAACTGATTGGATAAATTATTTTTGCTTGCCGTTTGGTCATTTGGTCAAATCTAATTTAAAGAAAAAATACTGACAGTAAGAATCAATAACAACATTATTATTAATAAATAATTATTATTCAGTTGGCAGTTCCCGACAAGTCCATTTTAGCTACATTCTTCAGTTCGTCAGTCCATCTGGCTAGGCATCCTGCCTTCCGTTTTAAAGTTAATTGCTACACATAAATATAGCCAAACCTAATCAAAATCACAGGCTAAACATCACATTAAAATCAAGCCTCGTGAAGAACATCAGACTCTAGTGACCCCGTCTACTTTCAGGACGGTAGTGTGCAAATGTAATATTCTTTGTTACTAGACGGTAACCAAGTGATGTATCTTCTTATTTCACATTATAATCAAACTTGCCTTCACAATACAATCAGACCATCACTTCTTCCTTGAAGTGCTGGAACGATCATTCGTTATTCGTCATTCTCTTTTAGACCATTCTTTTTTATTCTAGAAAATAAATAGTTACACAATTTTTTTAGTTTAAGATCTTAAAATTGAGGTAGATATTCATAATTGTGTAGCTTACAAAGTTATCCACGTTTAATTTGAAAGAATATTCGTAATAATTCATCAATACAGAGTCAATGCACTCATTAATATTGGCAGTCAATTTACGAGTGTTATCTATGAAATAAATTAGTTTTTTGTAAATTATATTGGATGAAAAACATTTTAATTTTTGAAGTGAAATTGCCTAAAAAGGGACAAATATTATTCATAAATACGATTTAGCCTGCAAGAAAACGAGATAGATTAAAAAAAGTTAAAAAAAGTTTCTCTTATTTTGTTGCAAACATTAAATTAATCAAGCTAATAATCAGAAAGAGGCATAAATCAAACTGTGTACAAAAAGTAATCTATTTAACTGGTTATTGGTTTAACTTATTGAAATTGACAATATAATTGTTACCGCGCAGCGTAAGAATATGGATCCATACAAAAGAAACTAACTTCCAAATAAAAAATTAAACCAATTGCGTTCAAGCTGATTTATTTAGTCATAGCTAGTATTACAATCTTAACCTGTGACTACAACTTTCTGTTACCGTTCCTATTACGTTTCTATTTCTGTTTGTTCATTTTGAATAATTATGACTATATAGTCATATTATTTAAACTGAACACAATGTTTCGGCTAGTGGCATTTCATCACTCATCTAGACTAATTATAAAGCTGAAGAGTTTGTTTGTTTGTTTGAACGCGCTAATCACAGGAACTACTGGTCCAATTTGAAAAATTCTTTCAGTGTTAGATATCCCATTTATTGAGGAAGGCTATAGGCTATATATCATCACGCTAAGACCAATAGTAACGGAGCACCAATGAAGAATGTTTAAAAAACGGAGAAAATTTATTACTATTGAGAGACGCAGACGAAGTTGCGCGGGTCAGCTAGTAATAAATAGAATTCCAAGTCGGTTTCTTTGGGTTAGTGGCATTATTCCCCAATTGCGATTTTCCCCGAAAAATTAAATATTCAATCTAAACTATTTCCATCTTTAATATCATATCCTCAAAGGTGTAGGCAACGGTCTATTTGAAGCCCATATCCTGACAATTATAATTTTACTGCCACTTACGTAATATGTGGCTATTCTATTGATAACAAGCAAATACTAAGAATTAAAATGGAAAATTGGGTTTATATTGAAAATAGCTTTAGCCCACGACTCCGCCCACGAGTATGTCGGTTATCGGGTAAATAATAGCTTCTTCAAGAATTAAACTAAACCAATACTAAATGTCATCTAAATCGGTTCAGCGCTTATTGGTTCCCATACAAATTTCCACCCCCTCAAAAGATTTCTGAGATAAAAACTATCCTATATCCTTCCCGGGACTCGAACTATCGATATACCAAATTTTTTTTTATTTACCAAATTTCAGCGGTTTAAGCGTGAAGAGGTAACAGACAGACAGACACACTTTCGCATGTATAATATAAGTATGGATTGTGAAATCCAATGGTTACTTAGATTGTTAATTAAGAATATTTTGAAGTAAATGCATCAATTTAAGACCTACTTGTATTTTTGATATACTTACGTGATGATATTCCAACGTTAGCAACGTTTTAAACGGTTTATTTAATTTTCAGTAACCGCTCAGACAGCACAGGCAGCAAGTTTGAGATGTTATAAAAAGTAAGTATTCCATTACCTTATATTCTATTTATTTGACGGACCCTGTTGGTCTGGTTGTTAGAGTTGTTAGAGTTGTTAGTGACCCTACCCAGGACAAATATTGTGTGATGAGCATGATTATTTGTTCTGTGTCCGGATGTAATTTGTCTATAATATTTATTGTATGTATTTAGAAGTATTATTATTAAAGGGGACCAGACTGCCGTTTCCTTCTGAAGAGAAAACAAATAGCGCCGATGGTTTGCCAACTCTCGAGCACGCAACGTACAACTGCCCATGCGAAAAACACGGCAATTCATGGCCTTTAGATTTATTAATAGTAATTGCGAATGCAAGGCGCACTGCAACTGATTATGCTCAGTTGTTGCAACTGTATGATCTCTCTTCTACTTCAGCTTCAGAGTTACAAAGGAAATAAATTTGAAGAAATCTTTCGTCACCATCAACTGATGGCACGGTGGTGAATTTGTCCTTGAATCTGTTATATTGAACACAAGGAAATATTTAAAGAAATCTTCAATAGAAGATGAGCCTTAATATAATTTTTAAATATGTAGGTTAATGTTGCAGCGGATGAGTAAAATGTGTGTCACATAGTAAAAAACATACCTTAAAAGTTGGATTGAAACCACGTCCTTCAATTATATAAATCTATGTATCATATATATTTATTTACAAAAAAAAACAGTATATAAGTATTCTATCAGTCAAACTAGCTTTCATAGTACAAGCTCTGCTTAGTTTGAAACTAGATGGCGTTGAGTGTCAGATGTCCGAATATTATTATATTATTATTTACACCAAATGACGTCATTTGGAACTCTTTACTGTAATTTAATGTAGTCGTTACCATGGGAGAGCCATGCTTCGGCACGAATGGGCCGGCTCGACCGGAGTGATACCACGACTTCACTGAGTGAGTGAGGTTACCGGAGCACAAATCCCGCTCCAGTAAGCGGGAGGGACTAGAAGGGCAGCAACGCACTTGTTACTTTTGAGTTGAAGGTGTCCATGGGCGCCGGTAGTTGCTTACCATCAGGCCATCACCCGTCTGCTCGTTTGCCCCCTTATACCATAAAAAAAGTCGTACAGATATTTTTTTTCATTACAGTTCCTCGACCAACTACGTAGAAGTTTCCTTTAAACAATCTTCCAAACTTGTGTACACATCACACATCAAACTCGACCAGGAAGTAGTCATCGTGATCCACGGATACGAATCCAATGCTGATGAGGTGTTCATTGTAAACATTATAGAAAGCTTAATAGAAACCTTCGGTGATAATAAAAGCTACTGCGCCTTAAATTGGAAGGTAGAAGCATCGGCTTATATTGGTCCCATAGCTCAGCCTATCAAGAAATTGTTAGGGATCAAACTTTTGGGAATAGATTATTTTCCAGTTTCACTTATAGCTGCTGGGGTAAGTTACACACTTAATTTGACATATTATACTAATAGTTTTGCAGAGGAATAGGTTTCAAGTCATTTTCATAGGGAGAAATCTCCTACCAAGCTAAGTGTTCATACCTGGCGAAATGGTTTTGGCGAACGAGATTTGTGTAAGTTTATACAGAATTAATACCCTTTATGAAATAACCTTTGTTTGATGACATTGAAGAATTTATTTTCGTTGTGAATGGAATTCATCTCAAATATTTTAAATATGATAACGACAATACCCCAGGATATATTAAAGAGCTTTAGCTAGACACAGTGAATGAAAATTTAAATTGAATATGTACTTTCAACAGTCATGTATTGTAAAATATTGTTATTTATTATTTAAAATTACAATTTTAAGGTTGGCAGTGACTTGGGAAAAGCTTTATTAGAACTGAAGTCAAGTGGTGTGCAAATGAACAACATTTATTTGATGGGACATTCAGAAGGCGCACACTTGGCTGGAGCAGCAGGTCGGGTTGTTATATCGTCTGAAGACCTCATTGGAAGGTAAGAAAAAGATAGAATAGAATCAGTGTTAGTAAACTCAAAGCGCCCACTTCATGCTTTGACAAAATCGAGGAAGATTTTTCTGCTTATCCCATTCAATAGACTACAGACATTTGGATTATTATTTATGAGAAATTTATTATATTTTTTTTAGAATCACGGGTTTAGATCCAGCAAAACCAGCAATTGAAAAAGCCCTGGATAAGACTTGTGCGAAATTGGTGGATGTCGTTCACACTAACCCTCGAAAGTATGGCACCGACAAAGCTATTGGCCATATTGACTTCTGGCTAAACTACGGATGTTCTGTTCAACCTGGATGCAAGAAATTGACTTTTTCACTTACTCCAGACGGTATACTTGAATTCTTCTAAGCTAATCTATTACACAACTTTAATCTTTCTCTTACTTTTAATATGTTGAAAATCAAGAAACTGAAGAGGATTCCTATATCTGGTTTCTTCTCCTAACTCTGTTTCTGCGAGGACGTTATGCTCCAGAAGGAGGCCGCATTCTATCAGAATGCCATTTAGTAAAGCAACATAAAAATCAAATTCGATCCCTTCACTGTTATTGTTATCTTGTACAAGAATTATCCCGCGGTTACACCAGAGTTTACGTTTACTGTTTCAATCCCATGGCCGTAGCAAAAGCTTTGGCTATGGGATTGAGGTATTAAACTTCTGTCCAGAATTGGAAGCAATTTTCTATGCGTTTAAGGTTTTTATTTATGGTTCAAATAAAAAACATTGTTTCCTAAATACAGATCTCTGTAGTCACATACGAGCGCCGTTAATAATGGCAGAAGCAGTGAAGAACCCGTTAGTTTTACTTGGTCGAAAAGCTGACAGCTACGGTGATTTTTTGAAATCCCATGGAAGTCCGGATCAAGAAGACATCAATAGAATTGGATTTAATGTAACTCCCAAGTTAGTATAATTAATCTTTCTATATTACAGTAACTTCAAATTAAATCCTGTTCACTGGTAAAGATTTGAGAAGTAGATTGGCGTTTTGCCGCTAAAAAAAAATCTATTGTATTAAAAACTCCTGAATCGTCAGACTACCATTTCGCAGACAAGGAGGAAAAATTCTTTTAATTAATTTATGTCAAGAGTGAGAGATTTGAGAAAGAAAGGCATAAAAAAAGGAATTAAAAAAACTATAGTAAGAATAAAAATGTAATTTCATCTCCACAAATTACATCAATTTATGCAACATATAATTGACCAGAAAATTGACACGACGTTCGTGATTTGTGAAAGATCTGGGGCCTTCACTAAGGCCCCCATTATTTAACATTGTGTAGATTATCAACATGTAAAAAAATCAATGTCATTCTAAAACATATGTTTATATTTTTGTGGCAACTGTACCAAATACTTTAAGCTGCAAAAAAGCATAACATATAGTTTTTTTTACTTTTCAATAAAAACACAATTTAATAAAACTAGTTCGATAATTAATGTGGTGTGTGTTCATAAACCGCTTAAGCTTGTTATTTTGTCTTTTACAGTAACACTGGTTCATTTTATTTGTGTACAAATGCTGAACCCATATACGGCAAGGGACGCGAAGGAGTAGATCCAGCAAATTGCGTCTGCCAATCTACATAGCTTGAAAGCTAATTCTTCTCATGTTTATTTCATAGAGAAAATAAAACTTATACAAGATTTTGAACCAGCATTTTTATTTATTTCTTAACGCAATCCAATCCAACCCGTTACCTTGAGATCAAATATATTAAATGTTATAATTAATGTAGAATGAGGAGCAGTGGCAGAGGCGTCAGCCAGAAAAATGAACTTTATGTCCTTGACATCAAGACCTATTCGGGATATATCAAACAAATAGAAATCCATATTCAAAATATCGTATACGGCAGTTATTTAACATGTAAGAATTAATTTTGTATTCTTAACAGCTATAGTCTGTACGTACATTATCGGATAAAATAGAAATAAAAATCATCTACGGGAAAGGATTATTAATGACACGTAAGGTTGAGATTCGCGTAGAATCCTTAAGTGAATCCACCTGTTGAGATACAAAGACTATGATTCAATTGCATGACAAACAAAGAATATTGTGACTAGTATACATTATATTATACGAGTGATTAGCTCAATTTAGAATCCACAACAGCAAGATACGACGGAGGACGGTCGTGAGCAGTTTTTATTCGCAGGCGTCACAAGCTCAGCCTGCTCGGCGCTCAAAACTCGAAAAAATATAGCATGTCTTGCTTTATGTGTGTGTGCCGCGTTAATAAACAACAATAAACGTGGTAGTAAAATTAAAGTAACTATAAGAAAATTATAGTTGACTAGCTTTTGCCCGGGGCACCGCCCGTATTTATCGCGGTCATAAGTAGCCTAGATCCATCCTCCCTTATCAAAGTATATCTATGTCAAATTTTATTAAAATCGGTTTAGCGGTTTAGCTGTGAAAGCGACAACAGATAGATAAACAGAGTTACTTTCGAATTTATAGTATTAGAAGGGATTCTAGTGGTAACAACTAAAGCAATACCTACTGTTAGTTATTGAAAATATATTTATTGACACATTTTTATGTCCCCCTATTTAAATAATAAAAGACGTTGTCGCGTGTATTTTTGGACGTCAAAACGTTTATTTCTCATTAAGTAGTGACAAATTATAGTCACATTTTAGTTTTAATATAAAATAACATGTTCTGAAAAGTATATACCCCACAAATTTTAGTTTAGTTTTAGTGGTATTGCTTTACGTATGAATATGGACGTGTAAGCAATATTTTGTGCTGGCCATATTCGCATACCCGATGGCCAATGTTCGTAAACATTCGATCGATGTTCAGTTCCGAACTCCTCTCGATCTCACATTTATTTTGGTAGTAACATTGTAAAGTATTACCAAGTCTAGCAAGTTACCGATTGAGCTAGTCACTCGTATATAGGTATTAGTATATAATGTATACTAGTCACAATATTCTTTTCCCTGTCATGCAATTGAATGCAATATAATCACATTACAGTCGACGTTGGATGTTTAATACATTACTACAAAAATACCTATTATGACATACGTGAAATCGAAAGTAGATCGGAACTGAATTTTGAAGGCATTTTTATGACGAGTATTGGCCTTCTGTTAATCGAGTTGGCTATTACCTAAAAGTTCGAATCCTCAAACCTTGCTTTAATAATTGAAATGAATACTAAAATTATGACGTTTCATTGCCCAGTTTAGTTTTCGTGCGTGCGATCGAATGACTAATATACAAGAACAATGGCTATCAGGTTTAGGACAGTCTCGTATTGTACTCGTATGTGAATAAGGAGAACCATTAACATGTATCTTTGGAATAGTCGTGTTGAGTAGATAATTAGATATACTCCAGCAACATTTCTAAATCTATTCTTATTTAACGCGCTTTTATTAGTTTGGTATGTATGTTTAATAATAATAATATTTAAAAACGCCAAATTAAGTACAAATTTTCTAATACAACATAATTTTCTTAGGTTAGTTAGGTACACAGTTTTTTTTATCTTTATTACCTTGTAAATACATAGTTTTTCACCTTATTGATACACTTAGAAGAAAAAGAAATAATGTATGTATGTGTGTAACGGAATATTTGAACGTGATATTGACCTACTTCAAAACGTCGAATCCTATTGAAACTTTGCACACTCATCAAGGACCGATGATAATGCAATAATTTAAATAGTTTGTCCCATTATCCTGATCAGCACGTTCAGGATTAACAACTTTTGCCATACCCAAAAATAAGGTTGTGTCTTTTGCCACGTACCAAGGCGTGTGCTGAAGACGTGATAAACTTACTTGGTACTTTTTTAGTCTTAATAATATAATAATCATAATTAATAAAAAGGAAAAATAAATTATAGTTTAAAAAACTAAAAAGGCGCTAAAATACTTTAATACTTTTGTAAAATTAAATAGTATAATACTTCCAAAACACTGTTCATACCAAAACCCTGTCTGATCCTAAATTAGGCAGCGCCTGTGCTATGGTAATCAGATTGCTGATAAATATACTTATAATTATATTTCTAAATACATACATATTGTAGATAAACAACACGGAGATACAGAGCAAATGATCTTCTCCTGGGTGGGAATCGAACCCACAGCCTCTGGCTGAGCAGTCAGAATCATTAACCACTAGACCAAAAGGCCCGTCACCAAAAAGACCTTGACTTTTAGTTTTAAAAGATCGAACAGAACCAAGAAAGGTGCTCGCACAAAAACTGTGAAGGCAGTTGCTATTTGGCCGTGAGTTTGTTTGCCCTTTCTTCTCATAAGGCTCAACCCCTTGGAAACGGCCGGTTGTAGATCAGCATAGGCATATAATAGATTTTCGATTGGTATACATTTATTTTGCTAAATATTTGACAAAACAAAGATTGCTACTATTGTGCGTGTTGATCTATGACATTAGAGCACACTAAAGTCTACGTAAGAGACGATATCAAACAGTTTTAAAAAATCGCGATATTTTGAGTTTGAGTTTAAGATGGAATGAAAAAACAAAAGAAAATCTACGCACCTCAAAAGAAAGGTCTTTTGAGGTGCGTAGATTTTCTTTTGTTTTTACTTTATAAATTTTATTTGTTATAATAATAATAAGTTCCGATATCTCAAACACGGCTGTCTGATTCCAAACTAGGCAGAGCCTGTGCTCTGGTAACCAGACTACTGATAAACATACTTATATATTTCTAAATACATACATATTATAGATAAATTATACCGAGACTCAGAACAAATTACCGTGCTCATCACACAATTATTTGACCTGGGTGGGAATCGAACCCACGACCTCCGGCTGAGCAGTCAGGGTCACTAACCACTAGACCAACGGGCCCGTCATAATAGCCACTACTCATACCGTAAATATTCCTATAATGTTTGTGTAGGTGTCGTATATTAATTTTATTTTTATTACTTGATAAAATCACTGTAAAAAAATATGTAAACCCACTTGAACTTTTTATGTCATTTTATTTTTACAAAAAAACAAAAAAAAATATTTATTCTACCTATGAAAATTGGTTAAATCTTAATTAAAACCACTATACGCCTCAACTTTAACAATTATGATAGCGACATAAATCACAACTATAGCAATAGGGAAATATTAAGCTTTCCAAAAAAACAATAAACATAAATCTATACGCTAAGGCTGTAGCAACTGCCTCAAGAACTCATTCAGAAGTCATTGGCATCCATTATCAGTGTTATCGCAATATTAGTGGGCTGCGTGCGCGCATCCATACGCAACTCACTCGCACTCCGCACTACGCACTCCGCCAGCGGCCAACGCCACGTGCGGAAAAGTGAATTTAAATAATTAAAGCTTTTACTCTTCACAGTGTGGAAATGTAAAATATTATTTGTATAATTAATTTACAAAAAAACAGTAGTTAAATAACAGCAAAAAACAATAAAATCAGTGATAATTAATATTATTTAACGGGAATTAACGCGATCTCTTATTTAGGCCGGCCGTGGTCACAGGCTGACAGTCAGCCTGTGACCACGGCCGGTGCAACCTGGTCGAAACGTCAGGCAAACCAGAGGTATGTAATACCCTAAATAAGAGATCGCGTTAATTCCCGTTAAATAATATTAATTATCATGGAACGCGAAAGTTTAAAAGTTAGAATAAAATCAGTGATTTAAATAAATTAAAATGTATAGTGAAAAGATAACGTTTATATTGTGTTTTGTTTTATTATGTTAGTATTTTCAAATCAATTTTTTTTAAGGCTAATGGTACATAACTATTTACATATCACGTAATGAATCTAAAATATATCTTTTGTTCTCAGTGTGTAAAGTGTTATTCTGTTAAGTAATACGAAAAATATTAAGAAATAAGCTGTGTAATAAAAACATATTTTTCAGATCTTTTACAAGTCACACGTGCAGCTTTTCTGAGGTGTTATAATGGGTAAGGCTCTCTTAATAAATAACAATTGACATTAAAATGTTTGTTACCATGATACTTATTTGGCAATATAGTACTCAATCTGTAGGTAAACAGATTAAACTTATAAAGTTCATACAATCGTGTGAACTGGTAAAGTTATTGGACATTATTTGAAATTGCACAAACCGCCAAATTGCCAAGACAAAACATTATTTAACTATTAATAACTTACCTACCTACATCGCAATGTACTTACGGATGGTTTAGAATTTGGTTAAGAATTTTAAGAAAAAAGTAAAAAAATATTATAATAATTTTGGAAAAAAAATGGTCACCGCCGAAACGCATATTCTAATCAACGAGTTCAGAATCAGACGTTCAAAATCGAATTCAAAAAAATATATACAGACGAATTGATAACATCCTCTTTTTTGTTTTTGAAGTCGATTAAGAACAAAGGTTTTAAAAATTTGGTGTCTACCGAAATCAATATTCTAACCATTAAATTCAAAAACATAATAGTTCTAAATATATGAAAATTTGTATCCACCGAAATCAAAAATCTATTTCTATCTAAATGAGTTTTCTAGTCTGGGTTTTGTGTTATTTCGTACAGAATTTCAAGAAACTTGAAATATTTTTTTAACTTTACAACTGTTGTTATAATAAGCTATATACATTTTTGCAAAATTCAAATTTAGTAAAAGTTTAGGTTAATTTTGGTAAGATGATTAAAATATCATGTGTATCCTGGCTATTTAACATTGTGGTTGCTAAAAGTAGATAAAACCATCTTTAAAGTGTGCTTTATATAGTGTCAAAATTTGAGCTCAATAGGTGCAGAACATTTTGCGTTATTGAATCAAACACAAACCAACTTAACATTTAGAGATATATATATATATAGATTGTTCCAGTTTATCGACACCAGATGCTAAAGATTAAAGCAATGATATTAAATCATTGCTTAAAGCTACATATAAACAAATTCACCTGAACAACAGTTATTTCAGTGTCTAATCATAATATTCGATTGTTAGACTGCACTCTTTTTTGCGTTTTTTTGATAGATATTTTGATGTGTAACAACTTTCCTCTTGTCTTCCTGCAATATCAAGGAGATATTTAATGAAAAGGGGCGGAAATGTGTAACAGGAAGCCGGAATAGCTTCTACGACTACTTCGTTCGACAAACGAGCGCGCGGTGTTAGAGTTGGTCGTCTGATAGCCGATCGCTGGTTTTTTGTCTTTGAATGAAATTATTACCCTTATTTTGTTGGGTATTGATGTACAACACTAGTTGTTACTGACGGTACCATTGGGCGGCAGACGCCATATTGAGAGTCTCTTCAAAAACATGGATACCTACTAAAACCAAGTGCATTTTGTAATTTCTAATAAAAACCAGTATTAAAACAGCTTCTCTTTCTCTGCGTTCCCGTATCAACGCACAATTTTCACCTATCTTGTTTGTTTGTAAATTCAATTATTGCATTTTGACAGTTAAGGTATTGTTTTATACATCTCAAAAACAAAGGTGTCCTTCGATGGCTTATTGAAAGACATAAAAAGTTTTATATTCATATAAAATAAGGATAATAAATTGGTTTGGATAACGTAAAAATGGGTCATGTTTGTGTCGGACCTCGTGCTGTTTCGGTCTTTTTAGTGCATTACTTAACATATCCTTTTACAGTCGGTTTTTTTTATCATTACTTGTTATTAGTTAAATATTTATCAGCTCGTTCGGCGTACGCACTTAATTGTAGGTACCTTATTTGTTGTACAATGGCGATGCCTAAGTTCCTCCTTGTATATTGCTTGAAGCGTTGTATCTTTTACTCATTCAGATTTTTGATAGTGTTCATTTAATACCGTTTTTTTTTAAACTTCTTTCGGATCTGGCAACAACAGTAACTAAAGTTAAACTAAAAAACCTTAATATATTTAATTCGAGTAATTAATTATTTCTTTGTGGAAGAATTCCAAATGGCATTAGATAATTGTTTATCTGTAAATGGAGAATTCTCAAATTTTCTATATGTGTGTAAAAAATATCAAGCAATTAGTAAGCCATTCCAAAAAGGTAACCCGGACTTTTTTGTGCCATCTGTGAATGTGATATGATTGGATCGTTACTAAATTTAAATTTCAAATATAGAATAAAATAGTTTTTTATTTTAACTCAAATTATGATTAATCATGACAATTGCATTCGATAATAGCATTTTTAATAACTTCACTTCAAACTAGGCAGAGCATATACTATGGTAACCAAACTGCTAATAAACATAGTTATTTCTAAATGCATACATATTGTAGATAAATTACACCTGGATACAGGACAAATGATCATGCTCATTTAAATGACTACAAAAAAGAAGAAGGTTCTCACTTCTGTATATTTTATTCTGTTTCTCACTAAATTGTTTATTTTAATCGAAAAGACCAAATTTTACGTTTAGCCCAGTATAGGTATGAAGCCGGTACGAAGACTACCGTTCACTACAATTCAACATGATGTAGGAGTGTTAAAGAAGATACCACTTTTTTAAAAGTTAATTATTTAATTTGGGTATTACGGTTGCTAAATATAATTATTTATAGTTTTGTATTTCGAACAGTATTATCTGACAACTTGAAATATTTTATAGCCAACGATGCAATACATTACAAACGTCATAATTGAAAACTTTAGACGTCACACATAGGTAGATTTCGACGAATTAGGGGCCGAAAGTCATTTTTTCAAAGTTAATTTAGCCGTAAAAATTTGACCGGTACCGTTAGAAGACACTTCCAGGAATCTATCCCCACCCTTGGGCCATGTGCCATGAATTATTTACAGGTAGTCGAAACGAAAATACAGAGAGTCACCACCCCCAATCATCCCGATGGTGTCGTAAGAGGCGACTAAGGGACCAAAATACGCAGGACAACAGCACTGCAGAGAGAAGGAAAACTTGAAACAAACCCTATACCAACCCGTCTGGCCAGCGTGGTATAGTAGGTCAAATCCTACTTCATAAGGAGAGGACTATGTAAAGCAGTGGACTATTAAAGGCTGTTGATGATAATGATGAGTCGAAACTTGACCTCTGTTCCGTGTACGTTACAGTTCTCGACACGCTCTCTGTGCAACTTCTCTTACAAAGTCAATATTTTTTTGTGAAGGTAATGTAAAACCTTAGTGAAAGTGATCGATTCGCATAATTCAGGTATGAATCTTTAAAACTATATATAATAATGGTGTTTTATTACAGATTGTCATTTTGTGTTTTCACTTGTAAGACAAGATGTTTTTTGTACAAATTTATCATTGATTTTCGATTTCTCAAGACTTTTAACTATACTTCAGGGTCCGTCCCACCTTTTTTTTCTCTTTTACGGTATAAACAGGGTCTAAGTATTATAGTAAAAAAAAAATTTGCCGCTAGAAAAATCTCGGAAAAATCCTTAATCAAAGATTCTTTGTAAAGAAACAAGAAAAAAATTTTTTTTTTCTAACGCTTCTAAAATATAGTTTTCTTTGTTTTAGAGTCATCAAATACCTCTGGCGTGAAGGTAGTGACGAAAAAATATTTATTTGACCTAATGCACGGACAAAACTTACCTTCTTTTGATGAGAAATTGGATTATTTAGAGAATTACTTGATGGTGTGCTATGGTGATACAGAAGACAATAAAAAACTCTTAAGCATAAATTATCATACGTTAGATCGCAAATGAAACAAAGATGGTTGAAAGCACATAAAAATAAAGAGTTTTTCGAAAAAAATTATAGTTCTTGGTTAGGTGGAACCTTTGAGATTCCGATTGAAACGACTCATCGCCAGGGTCGTCAAAGTAAATCGTTTGCCGATTCGAGTGAGCGAAGCAAGAGAAGGAAAACAGAAGAAATACCTTCTTCTGTGGACCATGAAGTAATAGTCCATGCTGCGCTAGTACTTTTACAATCAGATGGAAAAAGAAATGCGTCCAAAGTCCTGAAGGACATAACCAATTCGCCAACAAAAGCCAGTCAATACAAAAAGGCTTATTTTAAGGTTGATGAAGCTATCCCTCCGTTGACCCCCTTCGAAGCACTTAAGATGTTTGTTGAGGCTGATCTCACAAGTAGACAACATGAAATAATAAGAGCAACAAGCAAAAGACATTTCCATTGTTATGTACCTTTTGTTGAAAGCGAAGCAAGAGTGTTACCCGCCGAAATCGGCTTTACGGGTAACGGCTTCCTGCGTGGCAATGGACCTTCAAAGCCTAATTGATCACACCGTTACGCGCTTATCAAAATTCCTGGAAGAAGTTTTGATAACACTTAATTCTAATGAAAGACAATCATTAACCATTATATTGAAATGGGGTTGTGACAGCTCACAACAAACGCAGTATAAGCAGAAATTTACAGAAGATACCGACTCTGATGCAAATATATTCTTGAGTTCTTTTGTTCCAATCCAAATTGTCTGTGGAGAACAGGGCAAAAAGGTTATATGGGTATAGGTATGGCAGAATCCTACACCTTCGTCATCACGATTTTGCCGACCGATTAGATTTCGCTTCGTGAAAGAATCGACAAATATCACTAGAGAAGAATAGCATATGTAGAAAATGCACAAAAGCGCCTAACCGCAACAAAAGTTGATATTAATTCTAACGAATATACGTTTCGGCATATTATGAAAATGACGATGATTGACGGCAAAGTATGCAATACAGCTACAAACACTTCTTCAACAAGTCGGTGTTTTATATGTGGAGCGACATCAAAAGACTTCAATGATCTTAGTAAAAATAATGTAGTAAAATGTCCCGAAGCTCTCGAGTTTGGAATCTCTAATTATACAGTTAAAAGTGTCAAAGGGCCTCTTCATGTTGGACCCATGTCCCCATGCAAGCCTCTCAAAGGACCGGGCACCGTCCCGTGAATTAGTCCGCTGAGACAACATAATAATATAATTTTTTATTAAAATCTTAATATTTATTACATATTTTTAGTAAATAATATATATATTTTTTACTCAATACAGTGTTTCATTTTATAATAACCTCTTTTAATTACTAAAACCCCATTTAAAAGCTGTTAACACAGTAAAATGTTTTTGGCCGCCTAAATTCGCGAAATCTACCTATGTGCGTCAGTTACACAATAGCCTGACACAGATTTTTTACGTTTCTTTTTGTAAATTAAATAATTTATTTTGCGAACATATTAAAATGTTAATAAAGCATTAATAAATAGCATGCAAAAACATATTATACTTTAGTTAGTTTTTACAACAATACATCATAAAACAAAAATATAGGTATGTTAAATTGCCGTAGTCAATTTATGATGTAATAAAGTTACTAAATAAACAAATGTCAGCAATATCATGTCGTAACAATTATTTCTTTTTTTAAATGCGGTTATTTACAAAGTCAGTAACACTATTATGACATTTTGCAACCAAGATATATTTTAATTTATTTTTAAATAAGTCAATAAGATGGCAGTTTATTATAAATTTTTGGCGCAATACATAGCAAACTTTTACTCATCATCCTTGTTTGAGCCCTGTGTAAACACAATCTATTATTGCTCTGCCTTTTTATATTTACAACGTCAGATAGGTACTGAAATAGGTCAGGATTTTTGTGTACGAATGAAGCCACCTCCAGTATGTTTAGTGACGGAAGTGTCAGGACGCCATACCGTACAAAATACGGCCTACAAGTATCAGTCGATTGCAGACCAAACATGGCTAGAACGCAACGTTTCTGAGTCTTAACAACCATTACGCTATTTGTTGTGTTACCCCAAAAAATGATGCCATATCGTAACATTGATTCAGATAGACCGTAATAGGCAGTGATGACAGTATCATTATCAACAATTCCCGACAATTTGTACAGTGCGTATGCAGAACCGCTGATCCTTTTGCATAGCTCAGCTACATGTTCTTACCAATTTAATTGTCTATCAATGACCAAACCTAAAAATATCGCAGAGAATGCTTCTTTTAACGCATAATTATTATGACTGATTGTAATCAGATTTTGTACCTTGGGTCTTTGACTAAAAGGCATGACTTGCGTTTTATGAACATTAATTTTAAGGTTATTCCGGGCTAACCAAATTCTTTAATTTTTTCTAAAACCTTTTGTTCTGGACTTAGTAATATCACATCACATCACATCAACAGCTTTTAACAGTCCACTGCTGGACATAGGCCTCTCCTTAGAAAGGAGGTTTTGGCCTACTATACCACGTTGGCCAGACGAGTTGGTATAGGGTTTGTTCAAATTTGCCTTCTCTTTGCAGTGCTGTTGTCTTGCGTATTTTGCTCCCTTAGTCGATTCTTACGGCACCCACGGGATGAATAGGGGTGGTGACACTCCGTATTCTTAATCCGTCACCACACGGAATAGTAATATATTAGACTCTAAGTAACAGTACAACCTACTATGAATGTATTTCTCAAAAACCTTGGAAATTATAGAAATTCAAGCAATTGGTCTATAAGATTCCATCAACTCTTTGTCCTCCTTTTTAAGCAACGCTTATATTATTGCCGTTTTTAGGTTATCAGGAAATATACCACTGCTGATACATAAATTTAATAAAAAGCTTAAGTGGCCAGAATTGTATGGACAAACTATTTTAATTATCTTACTCGATAAATTGTCAAACCCTACAGTATTCGTAGATATTAGTCTTTAGTCTTTCATCTTTAGTAGTTTTATTATTTTTTTGAACAATTGTGAGTAGGCCTGATAAAAAAATATTTTCCTGAGATGGTTTTCCTGGTATGATTTTGGTTTTAAATGGAAAGCAGAGATCTAAAAATACTAAATAATAAATAAAAATAAATCTATAAATACGTATTTGCTATATTAGGATCTGTCTCTCTATACATTTCAGAAAAAGACATTCCTTAAATTTTTTAACGTTATTATTTAATGAGCCCTGAACCCCCGGTGAATGCGTTCCACGATGCCATTGAACGATCTGGGAATACAAAAACGCATGAATTGCCAGGGACTATGCTTTGAAATACAATAAATATAATAATATAATAATAATCCAGAAACTTTCATAATGCCCTAAGTATATATATATATATATATATATATCTCTATATATCTTTAGTACATTATGTTAAAGTGAGACTGGGTATATGAAAACTATAAAACTTTAAATACTTCCTTGCCTTAAAAATACCTTCTAGTTTGTTTGAAGGCGGTGCCAAATCAAATGAGTACTTGATAGGCTTGGTAGAGGGTGGCGCGGCAACTGCAAGAGTCTTCATGCTGCCCAAAACATGCTGAACGAGCAAAAGTGGCTTACGCACGTCTCAAATATTATTATTATTTTGAATGCTTGATTAACAAGTTGATAAGTTAGCGTATGTTTAAGGTATTAACAATATTTGCGATGTTTTATTAGAATTATATTGAATTCTTAATTCTTTATTGTGCTGATATAAAGCTGACATAGACCAGTATTACTTATTGGGCATCGGGCCAGGCACCGACTTCAAACAGACTAGAAGGTATCTATTGCTATTATAATGTTACCTGATATATTTTTTAGTAATTTTACCTAGATTTGTAATCATTTCTTAATTTTTAGTGCTCTTTGTTAGTATTGTTTGAAGTCAGTTAAACACAGCTAAAACAGTTTATTTTACCATTTTTAGTGTAAGATATGTTCTGTAATGAATAGGTAATTACCATATTTAAAACTCTACGTACTGTAATGTATATTACAGTACATACGTACCAAACTTTAGTATGTTAGATCATATTGAATTTAGTTTAATAAGTCCGTTTCTTTATGTAGATAAAGTAGTAAGATGTTACATTTGAACCTAATTTTTTTTTCCACACTATTTAATTTTCAACTACTAGAACTGGCATTATGTCTTTGAACTTTGAACCAAAGGGGTAATATACCCTTTCAAAAAATAATAATTTTCTGTTTAGAAATCAAAAAGTTTTGAAATAACAAATTAGACAATCATTGCGTAACAAAAAAATTTTTTGTCTATATGTTTTGTAATCTCAATTTACCACTCTTTATCACTCTCTTGTCCTATATCTCTGTAATCCAATACAAACACCTAAATAATATCTTGAAAGAATAAAACAAGGTCAATACATTATTTAGATTTATGAAAGAGTTAACCTCTATCACCTAAAGATCACAAATCCTTCATCATCAGCTCATAAACATCACATAACGACAACTAAACGCAAATACCTATATAGCTAGAGAAACAAGCTAATTGAAGGTTTCTCTTGAGGGATCCTGATTTGGTGGTAATGGGACCACCTCGGGAGAATTTTGAACATTGGTCCATAATTGATGAATATATCGCGTAACAATCATTGAAAAAAAATGCAGACGAGTTGAGAACCACATTTTCTGTGTTTTTGAAGTCGGTTAAAAACAAATGAAAACATTTTATTTCAATTTCATTGTTTAATCTCTCGACAATTGGAGCAAGGTTTTAAATCAATCAGTGACAATTGTAACTGTACCGAAAATTTTATCTTTACGAAATTAAACAAAATAAGGTTAAGGCTTTACTAAAAATATCTGAAAGTTGTTGTGATTAAACCAACTTTGATAGTGAATGAGGTTAACAAAACAGATCTACTTTTAATACATTTTTACATCCTTAAAATTGGATGTTTTGTAAAATATTAATAAAATTAAAAGAAAATCAAGTAATCGAGATATTATTATATTAAAACATATATATATATATTTAAATTGGACTGTTATAGGCTGTTGATGATGATGATGATTTGAAATAAGTATAAACTGTGTAAAGAAACCTACCTAGTATTTAGGGAGTTCAGATCTATCTAGGTGGCTTTCTTGTTATCATATACTGGGTCCGAGTTCGACATAGCACTCCAACCCCGGTGAGGTGATGGCCTGTGGGGATTTCCAGGTTTTATAGCCTTTGTTAAGCTCAAAACAATGTGTAATATAAAATTCTATTTATTAATAGTTAACGTAAACATAAAATAAGAATAAACTTAATTAATTGCCTAATTAACAAACCCAAAGAGGGTCACATAATATGTAAATGTATCGTAACAGTAGCCTAATTCTACCAAGTAGTGTTCCTCCACAGGTCGAAGTTCGACCATAATTCATTAAGTTATTAATAATGAGCTTTCGTATGGTTACGGTCCCATTACTGAATACCCATTTCTGAACTATGTGTGTGCAAAAATACGTGACGATCGGCTCAGTGGTTAAGGCTAAAAA